GAAAAAATAAATAAATAAATAAATAAATAAATAAATAAATAAAAAAGGTTAAACACGAGAAAATAAAAAAAGGTTATTCTTAACATCTTCACCCTTCCTTTCTTACCTGAGTTTTCAACTTTGGATGGGAATTAATGTAGTCAAATAATTTCTAGACAAGAAGAAAAACATGATGTCATATGCACACATTAACAAGATAGAATATTACAAGACATCATCGAGTATTGTTACTGTCCTTCATTCCATTGGGAATAAGATTCTTTTTTGGAGTTGTGTCCAAATTCATGTGTTTTCTCGTGCACAACGTTAAACAATGAAATGATACTCTAGGGAATGATAATGGGAAAACATTATGCCCAAGTTAAAAAGGTCTATCTCTTCTTGTTAGTCGACCCTACAACATGCTTACGACTGTAAATAACTGTTAAAACCTCGGATAAGTATGTTGAGTGCGACAGCTGTGAGGGAAAATCGCTCCGTGTTAATTGGCCTAAAAAGGAATATTTTGGGTGTGTTCCTGGTTAAATTAACCCTAAAAGTTATATTTTGAGACAAGAAAAATGTTCAACCCGCAAAGCGGGAGTGACGTACAATTGCGGCCTGTAAAACATACGATCACTCTCACCTCTCGTAATATGGGGGTATTCTTATATAGAGTAGACAACTTGAGTTTTTTTCGTTACAGAAGAATGCTATCAACCCACAGTGAGCATTACTTGATGGTTTTTTTTTAGAATCATTGATACTATTTTTTGAATCGTTAATTTGATTGTTAGCATTTCTGTCCCAACCCCACCCCCCCCCCCCAACAAAACGTGATTAAAAGAGCGTAGAGTGTAAGCACCATGAGCAAGGAAAACAACAAATTATTACAAATACCATTCTAAAAATAGCATCAATCTGTGATGGTTACAAGCCTTAATGGACCTCCTTGTCACGGGCGTAACATTTTCCCATTTCAGGCCACGTGTCATTCTCTAGAGTATTGTTTCTTTATTTAATGAATATGGATACGATTCAAACAAAGAGCCTTATTCTCAAGGGAACAACACTTGGTCTGAAATGGGAAAACATTACCCCTGAGCCCAGAAAGTCTATACCAGAGATTCCTTCTTTTAGTTTATTTTTCTTTTTTTTCTTACCTGATAATTTGTGTATTGTGCATGCGTTTCAAATTTCTTCTCGTAGCGGAAATCATCACCCAAGGGAACAAACAACACATTGGTCTTGTACAGCTGGGCTTTCTTCTTATACTGGTCAACCAGTGTTTGTGCTCTGAAAAACACCATGGAAAATAAGAGGTCACTTGCATTATAGCGTCATTTACTACCACTACCAGACTCCCTTGAACACTTTCTTTTGTTCAGTCAATTAGCATCATTTGTCTTACTATTCTCATGAGGACACACATATTTGCTTAAGAAAGAAAACCTACGAAGCATTTTGGTAGTTGTAGTTAAATGACGCCATCATGCAAACAGCCTATAGTCAGACAGTTTTCAAATAGATGATTTCTGAGATGCACTAGCGCTTTCAAAAAAATTGCAGGTGCAGACATGAAAATGAGACATTTTCGGGCAGTGCTCAAGAGAAATTGAAAACCATTGAGCCAAGTTATAGGCAATTTCTACAGCCCTTGAAGGAAATATTTTGTCTAAACTGAGCCCTATTTTTCAAAAAGTCATAATCCTGCTTCTGAACTAAAAGAAACTTCAAAAGTATCTCTTGATTTTAAAGTATTTGTATGTGTTTTCCGAAGCGCACGTAAGATCTAGTCTGAAAATGCTTTGTTTTTGATATTTCTTCAAATATTTCTTTTGTACACCATATAATGTGCACCTATAATGTGCTCCTAGAATACAGACTTATTTATGCAGGTTAGTGAAAAAGGGAGTTATAGATGCATGGGTGGATGGATGGTATGAATAAATGAATAGACTGACAAATAAATGAATAAGTATGATCAAATGAATGGGTTGTTGGGATGTGGATCTATAATTTTTTTGATGGATGGAAGGATGGGTGGATGGATGGATGGACGGACAGACGGACAGATGGAAGGATGGGTGGATGGATAAATGGGATAGAATGAGAAAGGATGGTTACCTATCAGCCACATTAGCATCAGTGATTGGTACTGGTGGAACTCTCCATGGACATGTGATTCCACCACCAGGAAGACGACGGAAGTCAAACTGACAACAGATCTGAAAGAAAAACAATTATTAGAACACTCTCAAAAGGCAAATTTACAACCATAGGTATCCTCATGATAGTCCCCTTCCCCTTGCGGCATCTTGAAAGATAGCCGTACCTCTGCATCAAAGCGAGATGATGGGTGAGCTTGCAATGATAGAGACATGTGAATAATAGGTCTCTATCATTGCAAGCTCAATGTTCGCCTCGCTTCGATGCAAAGGCATGGCTACCTGTCAAGATGGCGCAGGGAACTGTGAGAGGAATATTGTCTCACACAACATGCTGGTGACACAAATATACCTCATCCGTTTGCAATGTTTACCTATGGATTCCAGACCATGCCATTCTCGAGAGTACCATTTTTTGTTTCACAGGTGTGCATGAGAAGACACACAAATATATGGATACAATTCAAACTAGGAAATGATGTGGTCTGAATGGGCAGAYATTGCACCTAGACGAAGTATAAGTATATTGCTTGTTTATGGGAGATAAAACTTGTCATAAGCATGTGACTTAAATTTGACAAAAAATCGTGCTGTATTCACATAAATCAGAGATATAGACCCACACTTATTTACTTACTGTAGATGTGAAGTATTTCTCTATAGAGCTTTTGCACCATTACGTGACGGCAGCCATGTTAGATGGCAGGGACAATACAATCATTTTACATGAGAAAGAATTCAATTCCCTAGCGCAAAGGGATTTTATTGTTTTGCCATCTTACCACAGGCAGTCCAAGCTGGCATTATGGTGCCAGTGCGTGATGCTGCAAAGCCTCTATTGATCAGTGAACTAGTTTCTAAATAAATGTCATGTTACCTTTGGGTCTGGTCCACATGTATGAGGGACGTCATAGGAATAGAATGGCATCATGTGACAGAATATGTCAGTAGAAGAACCATGATCTGATGATCAAAACAGGACAATATGTAGTACACAGGTAAACCAACATAGGTGATAGGGCTACTAGCTGTTTATCAAACCCTCAAACAACCTCTGGGCTGATCTAAGACAGGGCACATCTACCTCACAATCAAACCCTGAAACAGCCTCTGGGCTGATCCAAGGAGGATTACGAACTAAACAAAACAAAAATGCACCAATTTTTGGTCTGTTTTGCAAGAGTGTTTTAATTGTTTTGAAAAAATGGTGTTTCCTAAGACTGCCACATGATTCAGCTCACGCCCTACCAGTTAATTTCTGCAAAAAGAAATGAAAGAAAACATAGATGAAGAAACCACAAGTGGTGTAGCTTGGAGAGAGCTAATCTATTGCCTCTCATCAATGTGACTTGTTTTGAGTGACACTGCGCACTCGGTATTACATGTGAGTAGAATTGCTTGTTGGTGCTCTCTGGTGCTTTGAGAGTTTTGCTCTGGGTTTTCCATTTTTCCTCCTTCCACAAAAATGAACTTCTTTTGTTCCTATTGTAATTTCAGTATATGAATAACTACTCTATAGAAATGTCATTGCTAAAGTAAATCTCATTATTTTATTTAATATGCTTACTGTACTAACCCCAGGTTTGCCTCCACATGAACTCCAGATCAGCTGTCTTAGCAAGGTACTTCTTCACCTGGTAATGCACTCTTTGGATCAACATGTTGTTAAAACCCATGCGCTTCAGTAGGTAAGCCATAGTGGGCGTGTGTCCAAATGGATCTATAGCCCACCCAGATATAGGTTTAATGTCTGAAACAGATTTAAAAAGATGGTAAGTATTGTTCATTCAAGGACTATACTGTAGTGTTTGCAGTAAAATCAGAGCAGAGCCAGTGTAAATGCTTTTATATGAGTCTTTCAATTTGCAGCTGCATAAGTTGCTTGGTATACTGCGAGGATCAGCTCAATTTGATATATTATGCTTAGTCAAGTAAGAGAGTCCTTCTCACCTTCTCCCAGATTATTCTTTATCCACTGGTGTCCTTCAATCATTTGATCCAGCATGGAATAGAAGTGTGGATTAGCTTCATCATTCATCACCCATCCTCCTGTTACTATCTCTAACTGGCCATTCTTGATGAGTCTAGAAAAATAATACAAATTCAATAAAAATAAATTGTCCTTGTTTTAGGAGGGTAGCACTAGAAAATTCCCAGTAGCTAACAAACCTGTGGCCCTAGTCTTATGTTCAAATTGGAATTTAGAAGTTGGTTTTTGTGGAGGGAGGAAAACTGGAGAACCCAGAGAAAAACTTCTCATAAGCAAAGAAGAGAACTAACTAGAAATTCACATCTTCAACTTATGACACTGACATATGACATATGACACTGAGCCCAGAAATCCAACCCAGGTCATCACATTGGTGAGAGGCGAGCACTATCACAACTATGCCACCCGTCCTTCATTTACCTAAAATTAATGGTTGGTTAACTGGGATACCTGGTGAGGTTTTGGCAAAGCAGACTGAGATGTCTCAGTCCCAGAAGGAGAGAGTATAGTAATACAATGTTGAATGGAGGATTGAAATGTAGGAATGAAAGAAAATGGTGTTGCAATCATTGAAGTACTCTTAATTAAACCTTAGTTTAATAGATTTATAACTAAATACTGTGTACTGGGTGTTTGTGGAATAAGATTTTAATTCCTGTGACTGGGAAAACCACTGCTACTACATTGATAAGCCTTTTCATAGTTTAAGAATCAATTCCACTGCGCATGCGATTTTATCCCGAATTGCCCACCTTCTTTTGTCTAAACCTTCTTTTGTTCTTGATTAACAAAAGAAGGTGAGAAATTCGGGATAAAATCACATGCACAGTGGAATCGATTCTTAAACTATGAAAAGGCTTATTGTTTGCTACATGTATTGTCTGGGTCAGACTATGAATTGCCTCCAGGTTTCACTCTATGCCAGCATAAACTGGTTCACTGTGCAAAAGTAGTTCTACTAGGCATGTTTACATTTTAATTAGTTAAATTAATTCCAAAGTTGAGGAAAAAACAGGGATGAGTAGGAGACAAAAATTACACCATCTTGGAAATATGCTGGGGGCCAGCTAACACATGTAAAGATGTAAAGGCCCACAGTGCATTGTAATTTCAAATCCACCCATCCCCCCACCCCCCCCCCTCCCCCACAGCTTCAGAATAGCCAATAGACTATATTACTGTCATGAGTCTTGAACCTTACTTTAAAGCTCTTGACCGTGTGCCTTCATCAATGCTGCTCCACCATAAAGAGAAATACGATATTTCAGCCCAGATAAACTTCCGTCGCTTGTCCTCATCAAGAGCATCCACAATGTTGTGCAATATGTGTCGTGTTTGATCATGGAAATATTGTTGATATGTTTTGATCCAACCTAATAAGACACAATCAAATGTTACAATATACAGTATTCATTTTAATAGGAAAGATGCAAAAGGCTGGGGGGGGGGGGGGGGGGGTGTGACTAGTGACCTATATTACCACCCCTGGATCTGGCAGTGCATGCCAGCCACTATCATGAAAATGCCACTGCTTTGTCCCATTTGATTTAATCTGAATTGATTTGGTAATCTTTTTAAAAGCTAACACAACTCTCAAATCACATAATTTAATGATTCTTAGGGATGGCGGAAAACCAGACAACCAGGAGAAAAACCCTTGTGGCAAGGGAGAGAACAACAAATCAAACAAACTCAATACACATTGTGGGGTCTGCATGGCTTGAACCAGCAACCCGACCCCTTAGACTCACAGCAGTAAAAGATGAGGCATTGGATACATGTGAACTACCTACTGAGGAAATCCTTAATAATAAAACAAATCATAAGAGGGCAGTGTGCATAATGGACTGCTTTGATGATCGGGTGGCCATCTTGAATCCTAAGAAATTATGGGTTATCCAGGGGACTAGTAGACAAAGCTTTCTTACAATTATAGCACTATTGAATTTGACGGTTCACGACAAGGCAATTTGACAAGAGATGAATTAAAACAAACGGACAGCTTCACAACTGAGGAAAATTTCACACCGATCGTGGGGTTGTCATTTCAGCGTCCTTGTTTTGTTTTGCCCCCCCTTCCCCCCCCCGGAGACCCATAATGCATTATGATTCAAGATGGCCACCACATCCTCGACGTAGTCAATTATACTGGTAAAGTACTGCTGTTAAGGTTACCTGGATCATTATGTGAATGTGGAACGACAAAGACTTTAAGGGGTTGTTCATCAAATGAGTGATCATCATATGTGATTGGCCATCCTTGCTTCCAGGCACCACCATCAGGATTATCAAATGGTATCACATCTAATGCATCAAGCATCTAAGGATAACAACAATCAGACAATTTATAATTGAAATATCACTTAATACTTAATAGTTTAAACAATGTTACAAGTGATTTGTCTTGTTTGTAATTTATGTTGCACTTGAATTTGTTAAGAAGCAGCTGCTGTTCATGTTGTTCTTGTTGTTGTTGCTATATTGCTGCTGCTGTTGCTGCTGCTGTTAATGCTGCTGCTGTTATTGCTGCTGCTGTTGTTGTTATTGCTGCTGCTGTTGCTGTTGTTGTTATTGCTATTGC